ACTGCTCGATTTCCTTCTTAAAGTATCAGAAAGCGACGGCGAATAGCAGCTCCAAGAACCTACTCTAGACTTCGGAGTTGACCTTCTTGACCAATAGCAAGGGATTCCGCATCCGTTTCGACCCGGCAAATCCAAATTGTCGTCCACCTCATCGTCCGCGCAAGATCCGGTTGTCGCATCCCATGATTCAACCGTACTAGGATTCCTAATCCCGTATTTATTATTATGACGAGAGCTTGTCGAAAGTGCAGGCGTGCTGTACGAAACCGAATCGTCTTCCGCATTCTTCTTACGATTCACCGCCGGGGCCCACCCCTTGTTCTTGATTCTTGCAAGCAAAGGGGAAACTGTACTATTGCAGTACTCCTCGGTGTCGTCGGATTGTCCGGCCAAATTGACCGAACCGCCCCTCCGTAGACCTAAGCCGGGCAAACCATCGACCACATTGTGGGCATACCGACTCACGATTATCTGTTTCTGCAGCTTCTCGTTGTGATGCCGTAGAGTGGCGTTCGAGTAATTACTCCTCCTCGGCTTCTTCTTGATTGTGCGCATGATAGATGGAGTGAAGTCCGTGCTTCTACATTTGAACACGGACGAAGGGTAGATATCGCTCTTCGAATCGTTCCCACCACCGCCATTTCTCGCGTCGCTATCGACACTCGAAATCGAACCCTCTTCGTCTTCTTCCTCCTCTTCGTCGATATGCTTGCTTCGTTCGCTCTCGGATTTCTGGCTCCTCCAATTATATAGGAACACTTTCTTCTCTTTCGAATTCGAATTCGGGTTCGGGTTCGGATTCGAATCGACATTATTATTACTAGTACTAATTTTATCGACTTGCAACGGGAGTTGCGGAAACTGGTCGGAGGAGGAAGAAGGGAGGACGAGGGCATTACCGTCAATCTTGTTGTGGTGGTGCACGTAGTGGTGCTTGGTGGTGGTGGTGGTGGATCTAGTCGAGTTGAGCGGCGACCGCCGCAAGGAGGAGGAGGTGGTGCCGGGGTCCCTCAACACCCTCGCCGCCGCCTTCCTGATTTGCGTCAACTCCTTCTTCAAATGCAGGTTGCTCGGATCAATACTCCCACCACCACCGCCACCGCCGCCGCCGCCCATCTCCACCGACATCATCTTCAAAACTGCCACCACTGCAGCAACCGAAGAAAATGGGGGTGGAAAAATGAAACAAATTTATCCCAAGAAAACAAATGGGTTTTCTATAAACAAATCAAAACTGCAGATCTGAAGGAATCAATAATTAAAAAAAAAAAAAAAAAAATCCTCAACAGCTAGAAATAAGGGTGGTGGGCTGAAATCAAGAATGTAGGGTTCTTAAGGAATTAAGAGAAAAAAAAAAGGCAAAGATTTACTGCTCTGCAAGAATGGAGGGCTTTTGAATTATTATGGGGAAAAATTAAATTAATTTCTTGTTTCGTTGAAATCGAAGTAAAAATGGCAACTTTTTTTTTTTTATTTTTTTTTTCTCTGCAGAAGTGAAGGTCCCGCCGAGCAGAGATTTTTGAGGCTCCAAAGATTCTATTGTAATGAGTGTGCTCTCTCTCTCTCTCTCTCTCTCTCTCTCTCTCTCTCTCTCTCTCTCTCTCTCTCTCTCTCTCTCTCTCTCTCTATACTTTCTCTCTCTAGTTTCTCTCTCTCTTGCTTTCTTTGTCTGAGATTTACTTCTCCATTAGTTGTCTTAGTTTCCATACTTTCCTTGCACACATTTTGGTTTATTGTAAGCGTTGAAATTGTTGACACTTCCATTGATGATTGATGGACTCATTTGCTTACGGGTCTTTAATTTCTTTTTTTTTTATTATATATATATATATATATATATTTTAATATAAAGGGTAAATTAGTAAATTACAGTCACTCCTGAGGTAAGGTCAAATTAAGAAGTAAAAAATAGTCGTATTTGGGTAATTACAATCACCTACCTCAACTATGAATTTTCTTACACGTCCACCCTTATGGTGTCGAATTCAACGTAATTTTTTAGATTTCGTTGAGTGTTCTCTAGTTTGTACTTGTTTTGTGTGCAAAATTGCAGTTTCTAATGCACCACTATCTGATATTTACTAGACAAGAGACACATCTTATGATCATCTTGTTTCAAAATGTGAAGTTTGAATGGGGTAAAACAGGTACGGTACACACCGGAGAATTATCCAAATAATCTAGAAACAACGAGCTAAAGTTCGACTAATTAAGCTTAGGGTATGAATGTAAAATAGTCGAAGCAGATCGCCGTGGAAACTTTAAACTAACTAGGAGAACGAAAGTATGGCTTTGGTATAAATTATCGATTAGGTCGAGTCATTTAATTGGTAAGATATAAATGAATGGAGTTCGAGTCGATGCATGATTGTTCAAGTTTATTTGATTTTTATCGTGCTTTAAAAGTTGGGTGTAAAATTGATTATTGATTCATAACTAGGTCGAACTCGAACGAATTTTAATCGAACCTAGCATGAATCATATTCGACAAAAAAATAGGGCTCAAACGAACTTTGGAAGACCGACTTCGGATTAAGTATCAAGTAGCTAATTTGATTTGATGAATGGACTGAACTCAAACAAACTTTTATCGATCAATCTCAAACTGAGTATTGAGTAGTTTGATTCGAATTTCAACAATGTATTTTCTCGTGTTTTAATCTTTAAACTTTGCCTTTTAGAATTGGTAAGTTGCAAATTGAATCAATTATAAAATTGCACATAGATTATTAAAACCCTAATGGTGTTAATTAATTATATATGTACCCTTAACATGTGTATGTAAGTAATTGATAAATAATTCAAATAAATGAGTCCCTAATAAATAATAATACCTAGGTAGATAGGTCATAAATTACAAGAACCCTATAGCTAAAAAATCATTATTGTAGTCCCTTTTTAAATGAGACATTGTACAATTATAGATACAACATACTTAGTGGAACTATCTATAGAAGTCCTTTAATTGGATGAAAGCTTATGTTAGGATATTAAATTTGGGCATTCTCTTCATTTATGCAATATTTAATAGAAATTAGAATCAAAAAGTTTTTATGATTTATTAACTTATAACGTAGATGTTAAAACAATTAAAATAAAACATTTTAGGACAAATTACGACCACCCTGAGTTATGGTCAAATTACAAAAACCTCTTTTATTTTGAGTAATTATAGTCACCCCTCAACTATGTATTGTCTTACGAAAATACCCCTCCAAAGGTAAATTTAGGGATGTTAAATCGGTAAAATCGAACCGAAATTACGGTACGCCTGCATTTCATACCGTTTACCGAACTGAATATACGATTTGGTTCGGTAAATAACCGAATTACATAAATTTTATGTAAAAATATTTAAAGGAAGGAGGTGGCTGTAATTATCCAAACAAGATAGTTTTTTTCATGATTTGGCCATACATCAGGGGTGGCCGTAATTTACCCAACATTTTAATATAAAATCAGATTTTATTAGGATAAACTCGATATTTTTTTTCGAATGAGCCCAATTTTACACCTGTCCAGTCCGATTTGTATACGAGCGCT